AGCAGTGTGGCCAGGTTGAGGACGGGAGCCACCGAGAATCTGCCCCTCCACTTACGCACACTATCGCACTGTATCCGTGTGCTCCGAGCTCGGCTCAACTTCGGCTCAGTAGAGAGAGAAGGCGAAACATCAGTCCGTCGCTCTTGCTCCTGATGCCGACTAACGGCTGCGTGCCGCTTGGATTTTAACGCATCAGGAGCAGGAGCGACGGACTGATGTTTCGCCTTCTCTCTCTACTGAGCCGAAGTTGAGCCGAGCTCGGAGCACACGGATACAGTGCGATAGTGTGCGTAAGTGGAGGGGCAGATTCTCGGTGGCTCCCGTCCTCAACCTGGCCACACTGTGCGAGAATTCGCCGGTCCGACCGCTCCTTATATAACTACGCGTTGCTAACGACGCTGTTAATAAACAATCCATGTCGTTAGGCCGGCGGTCCCCGCAGTTTTCGACAGATTTTCGCTAACGAGTGTTCATTAGTTTTTGTAGTCGTTACAAATTCAAAATAACATAGTCTGTACTTGAATAAAAGAACGCAGTCAATATTTATCATTGATTGAAGAATTTAATATTTTGTGTGAATACTTAAATTTCCACTTTGAATAATTAAAATTCAATTCTGAGTAACGAAAATTCAATTTTTAACAAAATGAAAGTAAAGAATATTTCATATAAAACTGAACACTGTTATTTAAAAATTGATAACATATGCGTTTGGAAATGTGTTAGTGCGAGCGCATCCGACGCGATGATGATCATAATTTATGCGATCGATATATATGATATCGATTTGGATATCGATCACATAAATGACGATCGTGACACATCAGTGCGCTCCATGCGCTATTATCACCTTCTGTACAGAAAAGGCGAAGGCCACTTTTGACGATCAATGCTCGTCACTGTCTAATCTAGGTCGCCAGAACGAACGCATGTGTCTTGCAATATTTTATAATTATTTAGTTCTCGGTTATCAGTAATTAATTATTCGGCTTATGCAAAGTGCGATTGAATTTATGGCTGCTTAAATCTCGATCATGCTTAAAATTCCTTCGCGATCAATAATATCGCAAAAGATTGTGTATATTCGCAGTTTCGGTTAGTGTCGATCTGATAGCTCATTGACGCCTCAGATCAACAGTATCGCTGGTGTTCTAATCATCTTAGCCCTATGTAACTCTCAGTTTATCTAGTTTATCTCGATCGGACTCAAACGTTTATAAAAGACGAACGTATAAACGCGATTTGACCATTGAAACGGTAGTAACTTTATTACTTCGAACTCATTCCACCTGAACAGCATATTTAAACTCTAATTCTCAAACAATATGTATTTCCACGAAATATACTTACGTATTAACAGCTAACAGGTATTCATTCTGGACGTTCGTCTGCGCGTTCACGTTGCACCCCATTGAACTATCTGTAATCAACATACAAATAAAAAGGTCGTTCAGTTCTTTATACCATGATATGAATACTATTATACAGGGCGTCCCAAAATTAGTGTAAGGTATTGAAATGGGAGGTTCCTTGTGTAATTTCAAACAACATTTTCCTTAGCGAAAAAGTTATCCGAGGCGTGATTAAGGTGTTATTAACAAAAAAACCCCGACCAATCACAGCGCTCGGTTGGCGTGAGCTTCGGTTCGGGAGCGTTGACTCAAATTCGAACGACCGGCCTATCAACAATCTATCAAGTCCCCATCTATTCCATTCGTATTTTTTTCTTTTTACAATTCCATGGTAAGATCTCGAACAGCGCGCGCCCAGCAGGATGTGTACGACAAAAGGCAAATTCAGTCGTTCGCATCTGGCACGTGCATTCCTGAATGCTGTCTTTTGTCATCGGTTCAAGTGTTCTGCACGTGAAGAATTTTTAAGGATAAAAGGAAACGAAGGCCGGCTTTAGTTGAAAAATACAAACACATTACTTGTAACGAACTTGTCCACCGAGTGGGGAAAGATTATCTGGAAGAAAATCTTCAAGCCATGCGGTCATTACGTTACTAAAGAGAACAGTGCGTGCCCTGACGAACACGGAATATTTTAATATGTTCGTTATTTACGCGTAAGTGAATTATAATCCGAGAGCAGCAGTGGAATTGTTCCGTGTATTAACGGTATTCCGATCGGAACTAAGAATTAAATTAAAAACTTGTATATAAATTTTCAATTGCAAAGTGCCAGTGAAAAGTGGCAGTGAATTTGGAAAGCGTAAAAGTGATAATTTTTGTTTTGTGGAAATTTACCAGTGGGAAAGTGACAGTAATCGTGATGATAAAGAAAATGTCGTCAGATGCAGGTCACTGATTTGCTCCAAGTATCAGCTACTGCGAGCCATGTGTCCTATCATCGAGGTTAAGTCAAATCTCTACAAGTTTTACATTTTCTTTTTAATTCAATATTCACTGCGACTTGTTCATTCCTCATTTATCCTATTATCATCCATCAATTATCAACAATCTATCCCATCCCCCATGAATAACGAATAAGTGTATTAATTGTTATTCATAATAACGAACGAACAACAATTTCCTTGCATTGTTTTTCATGTAGTTTGTTATTCGTCATTTTCTTAAAACGACCCGTACTGAGCAGAGCGCTTGTTCACGCGTGAAAAGCCGGCCGCCTGACTCTGAGCCAGCGCTCCCGAAACAGAGACCGCCTCAACCGAGCGCTCTGATTGGTCCGTGTTTTTCGTTAATAACTCGGTAACCAAGCCCCATTTCGTATTTTGCCAAAGGAAATTGTTGTTCACAATGCTCCTCCCCATCTGCCATTTTCGGCTCTAACAATCTTTCCGGAACACCCGGTATATTATCATACACGGGAATGTATCATAACTATCATATGTATCATATATAAGTATAATAAATTATCATATGCTATCGTACGCTATCATAAAATATCCTGATTTATCATAAAATATCATAAAGTACTAGAACTAGAAAGATCGTAGATCATCTTCTGTATTTTTCTCTTTATTTCAAATCATAGTTCTATCGCTTTTATTGAAACACCCAATACAGGGTGCCCCAGAACTAGTGTTAGGCCTTCAAATGGGGAGGAGCTGAGGTGATTTTAAATAACTATTTCCTTTGCAAAAAAGTTGTCCAAGGCGCGGTTGACGAGTTATTAACAAAAATCCCCGGCCAATTAGAGCGCGAGTATACAAGGCGGGCAGGAGCCCGGCAACCGCCTCGTACGTTGCTGCGACCGTATGCCGCGCTCGTGACAAGAGCATACATGTAGAATTAAAGAAATATTGCATGCAAAAACGAACTAACAAATTGGTTAAATATCAGAATAAAGGAAGCGATTAGTCGTTACTGGCGTTTACTGAACAAATGTAACATACTCATTGAAATAGCTAACAACTTTATAAATTATAGAGTAGCTAAAATTATAAAAAAATGAGAAGAGAATTAGAGTTGAACTTATTCGTTCGTCTTTAAAGTCATCTGCTCCTAGAAGAACGTCACTAGGTCAATGTGCCGAAACCCGGTACTTGAAGATAAAAGACATGGGCAGCAGTGATGTTTAGAGCAGGTCACTGACAGATATGGCCATGTGTTTTAGTTTCGAGTGTCAGGCTTCGGCACGCTGACCCACTGAAATTCTTTTAGAAGCAGGTAAACTTAAAGACGAATGACTAATTTCAACTCTAATTCTTTTCCCATTTTTTATGCTTTACCTACTGTGTAATTTATGAAGTTGTTAGTTATCTCATTGAATATGTTGCATCTATTCAGTGAACATAACAAACGACTAATTGCTTTCTTTTCTCTGATATTTAATCAATTTCTTAGTTACTCTTGCATGTAAGTTTTGACTTAATCCTGTTTTCGTCACGAGCGTGGCATACGGACGCGGCAACGCACGAGGCGGTTATCGCGCTCCTGTCCGCCTTGTACACGAACGCTCTGGTTGGTCGATAATTTTTGTTAATAACTCGACAACCACGCCTCGGACAACTTTTTTGCAAAGGAAAAAGTTGTTTAAAATCACCACAGCTCCTCCCCATTTCAAGGCCTAATACTAGTTCTGAGATACCCCGTATATGCTTGGATTCTGATTCTGAATACTACCTTATGGCCGGTTTTCATAGTCCTTACTTATTTTTAAGATCGTCTTAAACATTTCCTATGCCTGTCTATCCCATAGTTCCAGTCCCTGTCTTGTATGCATAGGAAACAGGGATTTAAGCAAATGCTTAAATAATTGAGCTCAGTGGCTTAAATACAAGTAACAACTCTGAATACCGGTCAATGTCTCGATTTCTAAACCTTTTTATTCGATACCAATCGTCTGAGATATGACAATCGTGGCGAACGTCACAGCATTCATTCGAAAATTGAATAAAAAAACCAGACCAGCTTCTTAGTTATGTAGCAAAATTGTTTAAGTGTTAAATTAAGCTTGAATTAAACCGCCGTGAAATTTTAAATATGGCGACGATGCTTACGACCAAACATTGGGAATCCGATGAATCCATCGATAAACTCAAATTGCAAGAGAACTTTCATAACAAATTTTTCCTAACCTCTACTGAGCAAAACGAAGATGACAGTTGCAGTGTTGATAATAATGGTTTGCTTCAGTCGTTGAAACGTAAAGCACAGGGCAATATGGCTAAGGGCGGGAAGTTTAAAATTAATAAAGGGATTCACGAAATTGTTCTGGAACACAGTCATGTGAGTTTAACACTTCGTTTATGTAAATTGAATTTATGATTGTTTATACAAATTTAGATAATTTATTTGTAAAGAATTGTCAAAGATTTAGACATGCAATTCTTTTAATTCATTTAATATCTCGTATCACAGTCAACATTTCAAAATATAATGAAATTCAGAATCAAAAACTCAACTTTCACTCATCAAAGATTATTAATTAATAGGTTAAAGCGTCGGCTCTTCTGTACGAGATAACCGAGAGAACGAATAAATTGGCGCAACCACGGCTACGAAGCGACGGCTTGGTTGAGGATAAGTCGAAGGTGTACAATACATCGTTGATTCCCAAAGCCTCACCGAGGATCATACAGTTGGCCAAACCTAGAGTTTTCTATCATAGCCCCGTGAAGAAGCTTGGTTACGTCTCCCCAGGAGCTCTCACTGCCATTGGTTAGTTAGTACAATAATTTACTAATTTCTTTACCTTCACCCCTGTTGATTTTTTCATACTTCTAAATATTGGTATAAGCATGTGAAGAGAAACTTTTTACTCAGAATTTCACTCTTTTCCTCAATACAAAGAAGGTAATAAATAAATTATGAAAATCACATTATGTCTTTGATTATTTATTTATATGTATAATGTACACAACACACATAATGCAAGCTTTTTGCTTAGAAGTATTTCACACACATATATACACAGAAGACGGAAACTGAACGGAAGAAGAATTACAGGCGGCGGTCATCGTCATGGCGCCACATGCCAATATACGAATGTTTCCTTTTAATGTAATCCGCGACAAGACGTGTTTGTAGCGCTAACACCCCCTCTCAAATGCGAGATTGTCACTCTGTCTTCAGCTTTCTTTTATCTTGTTTCCTTCATGTAAGGCCGAGCAGCAATGTGAGTTTCTTAAGATTTGGTCCATGCAAAGCTTTAGTTAAGACGTTTGCCGGCATTTCGCCCGTCGGCACATACAAAACGCTCATCCTTCCATCCTCTTGAGCTTCTCTCACATAATGATGGCATTTGTCGACGTGTTTGGTCCTGGAATGAAAAACTGGATTTTTTAGTAATTTTTATGCTTTCTGGTTGTCACAGTGAATTATAGTAGTGTTTCTATTTGTATCTTCATGTCCAACTTCGGCGAGAAAATTTCTCAAGTACGTTGCCTCCTTAACAGTTTCGCTTAATGCCATATATTCGGCTTCCGTGCTTCATAAAGCAACGCTTCGCTGTTTCTTCGTTTCCCATTTAATTGCTGCATTCGAGAGCTTAAAAACGTATTCCGTGTATGATACTATGTCATCAGTATCGTTTGCCCAATCAGAATCGACATATCCTGTTAATATATCTGAAGTTTCTGCAAAAGTCAAACAACAGTCAGCTGTTCTATTGTGGTTTCATTGAAACGGCTTAGAACGCTAAGGCTATGAACGATGTCAGGTCTCGTTGCAACAACTAAATACATTAACGCTCCAACTAATGATCTGTAGGGAGGCTTTCTTATTTCAGCGATTTCCTCATCTGTCAACGGCGATACCTCCTTGCTTAACTTATTTTTACTCTCGATAGGCTTCCTTTAAGTCACCGTTCATGTATATGTGTCTGGATTAGCCTCTTCCATATGAAATCGCTTTAAAACATCCTCAATATATTTTTGTTTCAAGGTTTTCACCAATCCAGATTCTTCATCTTAATGGTATTCAATTACCAGAGAGTATTAGAATAGTCATAAATCTTTTATCTTAAAGCTTAACTTCTTTTATCTTGTTGAATAATTCCGGTTAATTCGTTGCGATTACACTAACCAACATAAAAAAAAGTTTGCAATATTCATCACGTGATTCTTATAGAATTTCTCGTGCCGAAGACGAATCTGGAAACAGAATTGCTCTATCACGTATCATTTTCGAAAAATCATTGATTTTGTAAAAATGTATGATTTTCGGAAAAAATGAGGTATTACAGGAAAACTAAGGGAGCGAGGAAGTTCATTTTGGAACCAAAAGATAGAGGAGACTTTTCAAAATAAATCCATGTAAAATATTTTACTACTATTTTTGTACTTCTTAACAGTCGTAAATAATTGTTGAAGTTCGAGAAAGCGCTGATGCCAGTACATTGACACGTACTATTTTCGTATGTATGTGAAAATCCTTTTGACTAGGAGGAATTTGCTACACGGGATTGGATTTTACAGACATTTCTTATGAAGAAACTATTCAATATGACTATCTGTGTGCATTAGTACCTCAGCAATTTACGAAAATATTAATCGACATCGCGGCTCGTCGCGCGGTCCATCAGTGCTGTAGCTATGCGTATCCGATATATTTGTGGTACTCTTTTAATATCTATTTGGTTTTTATGAGTATTATGTATTATATTATATGACACACAGAAATATACTCATAAAAATCGGAATTCGGATCGTAATAGTCAAAGCTACGACCATACTGAAGTCGGCTTTCATTGCTTTTTGCAATTTTGAAGCATCCGGTCGTGATAGAGCATACTCGACCGTTGGTACCGGACCTTCCTAATATACTAATTGCACCTGATGAACATTTGTTTGATTAGGGGCGTAAACTTTTTTGGGTCTACCTCTTTGTCCAGCTCGGTCCGCCATGATCGCGTCAGTTTTCGAATCTTATTCCACTTCTCCGTTTTGGCTTAAATTCGATTCTGCTTCTTCATCAACTTCATCAATGCTTTCCTCATTTTGAACTGTTGTCATCTAATTTTGATTCTAGCTCAAAATTGAAAAGTTCGGACTTTTTCTCATCGACCTGTAACTCATAAGTGCAATCAACGAATTTTACGACTCTGCTGTTGATGATCTTCACAGTCTTGATGTTCAACATGCGGTACGGCTTAGATTCATTGGAATAACCGAGAAAGTATACACTTCTCAGATCGGGCTTCGAATTCTCGTAGCTTTTTGTTTAGGACATATCCAACGCAGCCAAAAGACATCAAGTGACAAACACTTGGTTTATATTTGAGCTATGAGTCGAATGGAGTTACACTATACAGGCTGTCCGATAGATATCTGTTTCTGATATGTGCTCCGATGGCTATCGCTTCAGCTCAAAAATTCGTTGACAAGTAAGCTACTCTTCTCTCTCTTTACATACCACAATTTTCAAGATATCTTGTGAATTCTTCTCCGTAATATATATAATCCGTTGTCCGTGCGAAGTATTTTAATTTTGTTTTCCGACCAATGCCTTGCATGTTTTAAAAGTTTCCTTGACATCGCCTTTCGATTTTAGAAATCTTACTTCAACCCAACACGATCTGTCAAATGCAAAATATACTGCTCCTCCAACTTATTATTGCACATATGGGACGTTGTCACTATAAGGATAATACGCCAACTTTGAAGAGCGCTCTGACTGGTCCGTGTTTTTTGTTAATAACTCGGTAACCAAGCCCCATTCTGCATTTTGCCAAAGGAAATTGTTGTTCAGGAAGACCCTCCCAATCTGTCATTTTCGGCTCTTACAACCTTTACGGAACACTCTGTATATTAAGGTGGTCTCGCAGAAAGCGGGAACTAGAAAGAAAAAAATTACAGCCCGAGATCATCGCCGTGGTCGCACATGCCAAGATACGAATGCTTCCTTTTAATGTAATCCGCATAAAGTGGCGGTTATATTAGCAATATTATGAATGTTTCAGAATTTTACACTAATTGTATTTATAACTAAATAATGTGCAACAATTCTAAGACGATCATTGACTAATTTCTTTTTTTAATTAGCCACTCAACGCATAATTGAGTTGTCCAAGCCAAAGAAGAAGCGACGAGTGAAAGGGTCGAAAAAAAGGAAACCAACATCGTATAAAGAAAAATCGTCTCGGTATGTATGAAAGGTTAAAATTCTGAGATGAAAGTTCGTTTTCCACTTTTCTTTACGATCATTATGAACGAAGAAGTTATTAACGAAAATGTGTGGTAGCCTCACTCCTGACACGCAATTGAACCATATTTTTTCGTTAATAATGATTGTAGAAAAAAGTAAAATAGGAATATTTTACTCAAAATTTCATTCTCTATCACATACATATAGAAAAGTCTGTTCTGGAATAATTTGCAGTTTACTATAATCTTTATAGTATAAACTGAAAGCGATTACAAAAATTTGGACAACCCTCATTTTTTTATTTTTTAGATGACTAGTGAATAGAATGTGTTATTTTATGTATTGTATTATAACCGAACACCGTACTGGGGTATTCGGGAGGAAAGAGTTCGCGTCTCCTTGGGAGGAGGAGGACTCGTAATTGAGGGGTAATCAGAAGTTCGTTAAATGAAACAAGTATATGACAAATATATTTCAAGCTATTGAATAGGGAACAGTCTTATTAACAAATATCAATTCTTGACTAGACACGGCTAATATCACAAAGAGAAATAGTACCGCGGTACCGTGCCAGACGAGTGGCTATTTGAATAAACAACAGCTAGGTACGTGCTCGCAATTACAAATATACAAATTATTGCTGGATCGACTCACGAATCAATGGCGTAAGCATTCCTCCATACCAGTCACACGCCTTTGGATAATAATTCTCACATTCGCGGTGGACACACACGCACCTCTCCACTCGTCCTAAGAACTGGGAATTTATTTATAGCTCCGAAACGCAATATTCACAATCATCTACGCGATACCCGAGTTTCTATAGCTTCGGACAAAACCTTCTCAAATTCCGCTCTCTATGCTTGCACAATGTTACTGCCTCGGTATACTAATTCGGAGTCACAATTAGGAGTGATCCGTCGGTTACAGGATCGATCGTCGATCCTCTGGTTACGTAACCGGCGGAACCTGCGCCTGCGTAAGGTCCTCGGACCTTCTAGAACATTCCTACGCGAGGACATATGTAACCGGTACAACCGGGAAATTTGTACGGTTACATATTATCCCCCCTTCCTCTCAGGCGACAAGCATGTCTCTATGCTTGTGGCCATCAAACATACTCATTCACTCTTTCACACATCCGCACGCAATCATCCCTCGGCGTATCCTCTTCACACGACGGAGACATCTCGATCTTCATCTGAGGAAGCTTCCATGTGAAGCGCTGATCATCCTCTCTCCTCCATTGGGGCAGCCTGTAGGTTGTGTGCCACCCTATTTTCGGCAGGGAGGTTCCAGTTCCATGCTCCTGTATGGGGAGCCCACCTGGGGGTTGCTGTCCTCTCATGGATTCCGCATTATCGACATGTGACTGCGTGCCCCGTCCAACCCTTTTTCGAACAGCGCCCGACGTAGCAGTAGGTCCCGGTACATTCTGGTCTTCTAACTTCTCCGTTACTACCTCGGCGAGACCCTGTGTCTCGACTGGGAAATTCCTCTGTCCTTCTGTCGTAGCTCCTGCTACAGACATTGCTTCCTCGGTTCCCGCGAGCCTGGGAACCGTTAATGACTGATCATCCTGTTGTAGGGAAGTATCTCCCTTTCCTAAATTAATCTTTGCCTCCAATCGATTCACTTCAATTTCTGGGCTCCTGTTGACCGAGGGGATGCACTTTCGTCCCTCATCGGTCATCGACAACTCCTCCCGCATTCCGGGCC